GTCCTAGCTCTTCCCCTGAAAAGTATTGCCTGTAAGTTAGCAGTCCTCATCTTCCCCCACCTCCTCCCGTGAGGCTGCTGCAGTAAAACTGCTACGACTCCCTTCAGCTGGAGCACAAACGCCCACAGCGTTTTAGCAGGACCAAACACCTTCAACTGAATGTTAATTCCTGCCAACCAGCACAACTCTCTGCTCAACTCCTGTGCCTGAGATGTTACTTTGTTGGCTGGCAAGTCTTTCCAAGTCTGCTGCTTCAGGAAGGTTATGACTAGTCTTACAGAGACTATCCAATCCTTAATCTGTCAGAGCTCACCACAAGGGAGCCAGACTTCCCCAGAACCAGAAAGTCAACTCTAGCAATGTCTCCTGCTAGGAATCTAGACTACACCGCCATATGCTACTTCCAACCACGTCCCCACCCCAACTAACTTGACTGCATAGTTTCATTAGGAAATTCGTCTCCTAAACCACAGCTTTTCACCCAGCCCAGCATTTTCCCCTACTTTTCACCTACTCCCAAACTGCACCTCCTCCCAAATTCAGCCCTGACACTATCAGACCTACAGAGGGAAAGCAAACTACTGTCATCTGCCCAAGAAAACTCTGCTTTCTCATGGCTTGTTCTCTCCCTCTTTACCAACCAAAGCTGCTTAGCAAGCTACATACTGTGCATAAAACTGCCTTATGGGCTGAAATCTGTATGTAAGCCACAGGCTTACCAGCCTTATCTTAAATCATTAACACAAACAATAACATAGTTTTTAAACTGGATCTCTAAACACAGATTCCTGTTCCACAGTCAGCACAGATCACCCTTCCGTACACCCCCTGTACCGTCTGCCCAAGAGCTGTTGCACTGTAACCTGAAAAATAACCAAGTCGAGTTTCCTATGGATTTCTAGCCTACGTCATTCCCTCCCACGATGCGCTAGTTGCTCTCCTCCCACTCCTCTGCAATGTGCTTGGTCAGAATTCCTCCGGTATTGAAATTTGTTTCAATGGGACTAGCGGTGCCAAAGCTCTGGGTGAAGAAAACAACTAAATGAACGTTCATATGGACAATGAGACATCCAGCACAATTGTGCAAAGCTCATCAAATACATTTGGCAGCTGTGTATCAACTACATTAACTATTCATTAAGGAAACCAGTGTCCCCCGCCATGATCTATACCCGTAAAAATCTGAGGTTCAACTCAGATGTGTAAGTAAAAAAGCTATGCAAGTGCCTGTTTGCAGAAGCAGACCCTGGGCAGGAACAAGCAAATTATTAAGGGCACTCTTACCTACCATTATGTGACATTCCAACTGAAAGGCACTTTTGAAAACGACAGTATTGACACTTATTACGATTTTTTTTCTGAATTTTGCAGTTGCGATCACATTTATCGTAGATGAGTTTTAATCGAATTGTTCTTCTAAAAAAACCCTAAAAAAAGTTTGAGAGAACAATATATAACGTTAAAGAATGTTGAGTACTAAACTTCAAATATACAGGGGTTTTTTTTTTCTTTATTCTTAATTAATGTCACTAGCCAAACAATACTCAAAGTATAACCTGTCCAAAGGTACGAGTCTCCTATGCTATCCAGCAAAGTGGTGTGGCACGTATAGGATGGGCAACACAAAAGGAGGGAGTAGCTCACAGCCCTCTTTCTTGGGAGAGGGCCAAGAGCCCAGAGTACCTAGTAGATTTGCTCTTAAGGATTAAGCAAGAACAGCCCCATAGTGCTTCGGTATGCTTCTCTCAGCATCCTCAGTCAGAAGCAACCTTCATCTTTCGTATGTGTAAGTCACAGAAACACACAGATTGAACACATCTTTTCAGCAGACGTGAGGGGTATGACAACACAGCACGGCGTACAGAAAAAGCCAAGGACACAAAACTGAGCATTACAGAAAAGCCTGTAACTCAACAGATTTTACCATGACGTCTTGATACTGCCATGTAAGGCTAGTCTCATGCTATGAACACATCAGGTTAGCAAATTTAGAGGCATTGCATTATTTTGCTTCACGTGACGTAAGAACAAGTAATTTAGACCATGGGACACATCTGGCTATGAACTAGCTCCCCATCTCCAACAGATATTCTAGCATTACTCCACAAGATTTAGATATCTGATTTATCATTTTCTGACACTGAGTGTGAGAGAAAAATGTACACAAATACAATTATTTCTCTCACTTTACATTGTAATTTAGAACAAAAAAAAAAAAAAAGGGAAAATGGAAACATTAGAAGGAAAAAGAAAAGAATCCTATAATTCCTGGGCTGCATAATCCCAAAAATTATACATTAATGATAACATTAATTTGCCCCAGAGATGTGCACTGTCCCAAACACTACAAGAGGTACAATACTGAGTGATTCAGGCAGAATGGGGTGGAGATGAGAAATTCAGGATTTGTTACGGTTAAAATGGAAAGGTAGCAAACTCACATGCTTCTCCCAACACAAATAAAACACTAGTGGAGCAAGTAGGCTTTGACTTTTAGTCACAGTTTAGTAGTTTCAGTTGTTTTAGTGTTTAACTAACTATATTCAGAAAAGCAGCATTAAAATTATCCTTGTGAATTGCCCCTGCTTGATGAAGGTCTGGTATTGAGTTATGCTATCCACTTACTCTATCTGAACAATTTATTTCAGAAGGAAGATCACGTATGTTTAGTATTTAAATCATTTTAATGGCTAGAATGGTATTAGTTAAACATTTCTGTAACAAATGTTTATCTTCATATAACCCTGTAAATAAAGCAACATGATTTAGGTTCTTAAAAAGAAAATTACGACTGTACCTTACAACCTTCACAAGCATGTACTCCGTAATGGTAGCCTGAGGCTTTATCCCCACAAATTCTACATTCAATGTTTAATGCTCCACTGGGTGATTCATCTATGCTACCTGGAGCTGTGGCAAAATTAATGGATGAAGGACTGGATGCTGGTGAAAGGGTGTCTAATAGAAAAAGGAATACTTCATAAAAAATATACTATCAAGATTGATACCATTTCTACACTAAAACCACACACAAAATGAACTTATTCTAAAAAATAATCATGAGTTAATAGTCATCAAGTGAACAATAATTTGGCCACAAGTGTTCGAAAAATAAATAACAATTATGTGTATGAAGACACAAAAAATACAGGGTGTACATTGCTAATTTTGATGAGACATAGTGTCAACAAACAAAAAGCCTTAATGAAGTAAGTCTGGCAGCAAGAACTAGAATGGTGATAACGCTCCTTGAGAACTCAATAAATAAGCACCACACAAGAGAAACTCAAGCTTTTTTGATGTCCTGCATTCCGTTTTTTACTTTGAATTTTCCAAAGTTTCTCAGTTTGATGTGAACATGAATTTTTTTTTATCCCACAACTGAAAATAAGTAACTTAAAAAACCTGAATTATTATTTAATTTAATTCAAGATTTTCTTAACCATAAAAATGCACATATAATGTCTTCACAAATAACAAATTTGAAACTGAGAAACAGTATTCAACATGTATTTACTGCTTAAGACAAACAGTACAAAATATTAAAAGAAAAAAAAACCCCAAAACACACCACAATGAAATAGACCCCCCCCCATGACTTCAAGTTTGTGTCACAATATCAGAGAGTTCAACGGCTCTTTCCAGAGAGACTATCACGGGCTCATCTTGCCAGCACACCTTCCAGCTCCGGCACTGTGGCACTGCGCATCAGATGCACTGGCACGGCACAACAGAGACATACCCCTAGCTCACGCTCAGTTAGCCCAGTGCCTGAAGGTGCACTTCCACGTCCCACTGACGTCTGAAGAACTACTCATAGTTTTATGTGATGATCTAAACTGAGGTGTGAAAAGCAACTGAACAATTTCTCTTTCTAAAGAAGAGATTATCTCCAAGTGAAAGCATACTCCTCCATGTCAGTAGGAAGGGTGAGCAGATATTACAAGGAAGGTAACAAGAATGTCAGCTTCTAAGATAATCCAGCAATAGAGGCCTTGCTCACACGTTCACCTTTTGAGTAGAATGGGAAAAACAGTTCTGAATTGTTGTACAATGCAACAAACTCTCCAGACATTTTACTACTAGATGAACACGATACAAAACTAACACATCACAACCTTAATTACTTCAATTTTTATATCCACCCTGTTTGAGGAAAATGCTTTCTGAGGCCAGCATTTATTTTATCTTCTATCTTGCAACCTGCACCACAAGACTTCAGCAAATTAATGGGTGTGTTATTTTAACAGAAAGATTAAGAAACATGCATGAATGTAGGTCAGCAAGTATTATGTTGGAAAAAGCCTTGGCAGAGAACCCAGGAGTCTGCATTGCCAGCACTGCCAAGCCCACAGGCATCAGAGTCATCAAGAACAGCCTAAAACCCAGGATTTTTTGAAGTGGGATTTTAATTTCTTTTTGCTTGCCTTATGGAATTTGAGCCTTAAAAGGTTCTATTTCCCACCTTCTATGACAGCAAAACCAGAACGTTTTGCAATGCACACTGAATACTCAAATGAGAAGATGACAGTAGAAGCTCATCTAAATTACTGTAGGACTTGTGTACCCACACACATACAGTTAAAAAACCTTGTGTCTCAGGAGGACTACGTTATAAACCCAGCACACACTGCCTTTTCCTGCGGAAGGCATCTCTCTAGCGTGAAGATCCACAACCAAAAGAGACTCAGATCATATTTCTACCAACATTCCTTTGGGCAATAGTGCCAAAAGGCAGGCCTCCTCCCTTCAAGACTCACACTATTCATTTCAACCACTTCAGCACAGAGGCACACCTCAGGTGTTATCAGTGCTGCTGTACGGCAAAGTAGTGATCACAGCCTGGGAATCGATGTAAACTAAGAAACCCCCTCAAACCCTCTTCGTGTAAACCAACCAGAAAGTTAATCATAAACTGCTTTAAGTGGCTCCACTGCTAAAAGATGTGTAAAATCAGAGTTTCAAAAGGAATACACCTTACTGACCATACCACTTCAACGACTTTCATTTTGATATCTCAAATGAAGCCCCTCACAAAAATCTTTTGACTAAAGACTACATAATGTATTAGCACTTACTTTAGCCAGGGTAGAACAGCGCTCATCTTGAGAAGGGGGGCAAACCAGCCTATTCAAATCACCAGTACACTAAAATATACTGGAATTCTAGGTGGGCTTTACAGGGTTAGATTATCAGGTTTTGGCAAACATCGCACAATACTTTTCAAATACATGTGATTTGAGAAAACTTTTAAAAACTAGGAATTCTTTTAGTGCAATATGGTGTCTTCCTATGGGACTACAATACATAGTAACTTCTTTGCTAGTAATAGTGATTTTTAAAAGTCATTTTGAAAAAGTGTTGATACTAATGATAATTTAAAACAACAACTTTGTTACAGTATTTTTTCAGTGACATTTGCCTTAAATATTTTTTAAGACCATGCTACAATTAACTTATAATTCTAGTGTCACCTAGTCATAAACAACAATTATTGCATTAAAAAGGTTGATAATTTCTATCTTATCTAGAATAAGGTTTTATGGTAAATCAAAACTCGCTTACCTGTTATAACTGATCCGTCAGATCCTGGACCCAGTGACTGAAACTCTGTTAAACTTAAAGCTCCAGAGCTATCATCACCTAGAGACTGAGAGAGATGTTGGATGTTCTCCATATCTTGTAGAAACTCTCCAGATAAAGGGCTGCCGATATCATCCTCCTCCAAGGGAGTAAGGGTATAGAGCTGGTTTTCAGTGTCCACCATTTTGGTCAGGTAGAGCAGTCACTTAAACTTCTTTACACTGGTGAAAGAATAATTAAAAAAAAATCCTGTACTTACAATACCAGAATATTTATTTTTTAAAATATTTTAATCACAGTTACTGAATACGTGAATTCTGATCCAATAGTGAAATATTACACAACATTCAGAAGCTTTATGCAACATGAATCATCAACAGGACAGAGAAGAAAAAAAACCAAAACATCCCCAAAATATTTCAACATGAATTAAAGTTATGACGAGATCAATCTGTAGCTTGTTGTTGTCTCTCTTTTGCTGATAAAAGTTACATACTGTGTTTCTACAGCAGGCATTACACACTTCCCACCAAAATTTATAGAAAAAGAGCAAGTACCAAAATGCATATATATGATGTTTGAGCAGTCTTTGCTCACCTTATCTAACAGCTTTAGGTATGCTGAGGTGGTCATCTGCTCTCATCTCTTAAATTTGTTCGATGGGTCTTACAACACTGTAGAGAACAAAATACTGTCTTATAAAAGAATCTTTGAGAAGTGGGCCAAACGAATACTTTTTGACCTGCTTCGGTCAAAGAACACCTTCAGCAAGAGTGCTCCAGCATATATAATGCAATACATCTGCAATTCCAAGTCAGTTTTACATCCTACAGTGAAATCAGTTTTTAAAGCTGCCTTCAACTAGCCACCGGTGTCGTCAACTTTGAGTAACAGCAAAGATTCCTAAGAAAATGTCACAAATTTTAATTCTTCTTCTACTGACTCATCAGGTAAGCAATTAGTAAATGTACTGCAGAACGTTGCTACTGCTGCATAGATATACTCCTGCTAAAAGAAACTCATCTTTTACACAGAGGAACTAATGCTTGCGTTACACTCGCTACGCTTACAAACACACACCGCGGCGGTCTTGTGCACACCATAAATATGCACGGCCTTCAGAGAAGCTCCGAGTGTTACTGTGGTTACCGCTCAGCATTGGCCTTTGCAAGGAACACGTGCTCACTGCAGTTCATTGTGAAGCCTCAAAATTGCCAAGAACTGGCAATACGGGGATATACAAATGCTGATTTTACAATTAAAGTGCTGTATTATGATAAAGAAGAAATAATCTTCCTTGATGTTATTTAAAGTTTCAAAAACCAACTAGCTTGCTTTCTATGACACTAAACACTTTATATTATGATCAATCCTTTTCTTTGATAATCTAGGGCAGATTCATCCTATGAAAATCAGGCATTTATTCTGGAAGAAAAAAGTGGGAGTTTTGGCTATGTAATTGACCAAAAGGGTACAGTTTAAAGTAATACAAAGTGCTGACTACTGCTTTACATACTAATGACAAAAAACAGCCATCACTTGTATTCAATTATATAAAAAAAGTCAAAATGTTTTGAAGCAAGTTATCTACAAATCAAGTCTTTTATCCCCAGGCTGATGGCAAAAGCCTGCCTTCAATTATACGTGCATAACTTTACAAGGTATTACACAGACGTAACCGAGGGCAGAATGACCTACTCCGAAGAAGCCTAAAGGTTATGTTTGTAACAACCTGCAACGCGCACGCAGTTTTTAAATGATCTATTTTTCAGGTGCGCTTATCAGCGCACACTCCTTTCTGCTGTTTCATGGAAACCCAATGGTGCACGTGTATCACTCCCCTAGTGTTTTCCAACATGCTTGTTACCTGGCTGTATGGCAAAAAAACAGTTAAAACCAAAATAAATCTATATAAGATAAGGCTTCCTATTCCACATTTTGCATCCTTCCAGCTAATCAATGTCATTTAAAGTACATACATTAGATGCAGCAAAACTTTCCTTTAATTTTTAGAGTACCCAGGTTTTTTAAATTGTAATACCAAATGGCTGTAGTGCTGCATCTTATGTCCCCATTATTCATTTCTAGCCAAGGGAATAGACATAAAAATGTTAACCCCTCAGGTACAAGGGGAGATTGAAACTGTAGTGTAATCAAACTCTGGTGATGAGAACAAAAGGATATGATTTATATCACTGTACTTGTTTTTGAAAGAAACTATGTTGGGGCTGAAAAAGAAAGTTTACTTCAAGAGTTTCTAGTTAGATTGTCTTTCTTGCAATTCATGAAAAGAACAGTTACAGTATGTGGCTTGTGGCATAATTTTTCCAAACCAAATCCAGGTTGGAAAAATACACAGGTCAAATATACAAATTTCCCCGGACAGAATTCCACTATCCCTTTCCAAGCAGGCAAAACCACCGAGGCAGTCAGTATTACTACCCTGCCATCTCATACTACAAGGACCCTGAGTAAAGATCTATTTGCACAATTTCTTCAAAACAGGATAGGTTTAACTAGAAAAGGAAAACATGTTCTACAACGCATAGTGTAGCAAGTAAGAATATCTAGGAGATTAAGAATGGGAATTTATCCACAATTTCTAACATCAGTTACAGACAACAGGTATGTTACTGTTGATTTTACTTGGAGGTGTCACAGCGCTGCCCTGTCACTACGCACAACTTGGCTGCATTTAAAAATAAGTCAAATTAAGTTATCTAGTGTGATATATTAAATACTCCTTAGGACATTGTGCCAGACTGCCAGCATGCAAGAGAATATTTATAAGCAATATAAGAGGTTTCACACCTATCTCTACTTCTTTCTGAAGGGTTCAATTGGAAGACTGGTGCGGCTTTTAAGAGCATCCAAGCAATGCTGATTATGATGCCCAATTATTTTACAACATGACAGAACATTATATTGGGAAACTGAAATAAAATAACGTCTTTCATACAGAGGACTGAAGTGTAATTGCTATCAGTTATACTCCCTACAGAATTTTCATAATTAGAAAGTGCTTAGCAACATGAATTCCAACTGTCACTTTCTTCTAAAGCTCAACCGTTGTTCTGTCCCCAGGAACCACCTTTGTTTCTCTTATGAATCTTACTGGCTCATAACCTGACAAAATACTAAGAAATATCTACGCTTGGTACACATAAGCCGGTCGCAAGACACAAAATAGAAATTAAAAGGATTGTAACATACATGACCATAGTTACTGAAGGAAAAAAAAAAAATATCAGAAGTTCTATTAATAAGGACTCTAAATAAAAGGGTACTTAAAAAACAATTAGCCTAGTGCTTTAGGCATGTATTGTCTCCCACTAAAGGAACAGAGCACAGATTATTGTCGATTATCTGACAAACATTTTATTGCTAAACCATCTGCACGTGTTCAGAACAACGCTTCCAAACTCCTGGAGACTGAAGATGCAGAGTCATTTCGCGGCTGCAGAGTGCCTTACAAAACACTACTTTCACAAAGCGCGAAAGACAAAGAATTCTGGTTAACATATTCTGTTACCTTCTGCCAATACCTTCGCTCTTGAACACCTTCGGACAGCTTCTCTGTTGAGGCATCATGAACCAGCTCAGTAACGCCTGGCACTATCTAACAGGCCAAAACATTACATTCTGCACCTGATACCCCTAACGTCAACGCCCAAGCTGAGAAATGAGAAATCACTGTCAGGTAATTTATTTCTGAAAACAAAGTTAAATTACTATCCTTGTGACATGGCTGTTTTGTGATGAGGGAAAAGAGTAAAGAAACCTTGAAGTACGTTCTGTTTGTAATGACAGCTGAGAATACCAACTATTCTCCAGCAATCCAAAGGAGACCACCACATTTGTTTCCCTCAGAAGGATCAACAAAAAAGGAAGGGATGGCAGCGCACATGATCAGCACTGCTCCTCCATGAGATTCTCCCAGGCTAAAAGAGTTGTTCAGGGCTCAGAAACATTATATTCCTCTGCAGATACACGGCATGGGTATCCTCTGCCCCAGGACAGCTGGGAAGGCTTCAGAGGCAGCAGGCTCCTTGTACCCAATGTCGCTTCAAGCTCCCTACTGCATCACAAACATCTCTCCAAGTATGACTTCTCCAGCACAAGTGTTTTTAAAAGTGAACACTGCAGTCTACCTTCAAACCAACAAGCATTATTTGACAGGAAAGCAAAGGAAATGCTTGAGAGCTGAACTCTGAACACGGCCACACACCTGGTGTTGCCCAAATTGCACCATACGTTGCCACATTTACAGTAAATATTTATAATTCAGCAGTCTTTTTAGCTGAATTTCTATAAGAACAACCTAACAGCTAGTGAAACATAAATGAAGGGCTTACTGTTTTAACTATTAAATTACATACCCTTCTGTACTTTCAAACACTACCACTAAGTTACAGCTGCTTAATCATTACGGCTCTTGTCAATAATTAACTAGCTACCTTAGTGAGCATGGCCATTATATAACCACTTCTGAAGACTGCCAAAATACCCTAATATTTTCATTACTGAAAGTTATAATTTTTATGGGTTTTTTCATAAGCATGGAAAACCTTTAAGTAAAATGTCAGTATCCATGCAATAAACCCTTTGCCTTCTGTCTTCTCTGTATTTTGTACATGTTTGCACATGCATATGCTTTCACTTCATATGCATTGATCTTTGCTTGTATGAAAATAAAGCTTCTGAAATAAAAAGGGTAATGAGCATGAAGGTTTTTGTCAGAAGTCGTTTCCCACCACCACACTGCAAATATCCAGTGAGTAACTTACCTATAAACTTGAATCAGGTATTAAAGAAATTGCAGGCAGATTATCAAAGAAAAAAACCCAGTCATGCAGCGATGGGTTATTTGCTTCATTTTTGGAAGAGGATGCTGGGAGACTAAACTCCTGAACCTTCCACATTTAATACTTGCCACACTAGGGATAATCCCTGTACGGAAACAGGTCTCTGAGATGCAAAGGTCTCTGAGATGCAGTAACAAAGTCTGGATTTACTGCATAAACAAATTGATTGTGTAAAGGGCTTGCTTGCAAATACGAAGGTTAAAGTTGAAACAATCATTACCTCTAGGTCACTTTGAGAATGTTGTGGCTGAACACAGCATATTTAAAACTAGTGGCTGCAGCAGACACTTTTAAAAAACTTAGGTGAATAGGAAGAGCCTGAAATATGTAAGCTACAGGATAATTCCAATATCCTGATGAAAAACAACTGGAAAAAAAAAGCTGAAAATAAAATTTGGCACCTAAAATATGAAGCCCAGTCTCCTACCTGTAAAAGGATGCATGTTTTCTCCTCTATGTAGTGACATTTGATTCATTTGCATACTTTTCAGCCTTACATAGTAATATTTTATATTTTACCATGTATTACAAACCCAAGACAAAGAGAATTTACTATGCATGAGATGAAAAATTTCCATGAGCCACCTCTTCAACAATGCCAATTGCACCCTACCCCCCAAAAAAACCCACAGAAAAACTTTGCGCTTTTTAATCCTCTATACATTTGTACTCCTACATATCGTATGCAACTGATGAGCAACCTTGGTTTTAAAACACATCAAAATTCACATACCCTAATTTTGAAAGGTGATATGAAAATTGCAGAGTTAAGCTCTTAAAAGTTATGTCATGAAAAACTCTATGCAGCCTTGATTTTGCTACCTTTTTTTTTTTATGCACTATGGTAGAATGTACATATATACTGCACAGTGTTCTTCCCCCAGATTGCTCCCCTTATAATTGGGCAGTGCATTAAAGAGAAGTGGAACTACACAGCTTGTAAATCAACCTGGTCTACAGCAGGAAAAAAGCTGTTAATTCATTGGTTGATCGAAAAAGAAGAACATTCATTCCCTAAGAAAAAAAAAAAAAAAGGGAGAAAAGAAAATTCTCTTTTTCTGACCCAGAAGTACTTGCAGAACTGGAGGAGCACAAGAGAGTTTCCTGAAGGAACAATACAGGCCACAGGGACAAGTCTACTGGCTTGAGAAAGTGGGGACTGTGATTTGTCTTACGTTCTTCCCTTAACACATTTCTCTAATTGCATCAGAAGACACAGAGGTAACACACTTCTAATCTCACATGGGAAGAGTTGTTAAAGCTTTGAAACACTGCAGATATTTTGCTGATTGATATTAAAAGTGGTAAAAACAATATGGGAATTTTGTTTGTCTGTTTGTTTATTACTCAGCCAAACCTGAGCAGACTGAGCCAGGCAACAGCACTTGTTTGGTCCTAGGATTTTCTGTCCCCTTGGATTTTAAAAGACATGATCCAAAAGAGAAGAAAAGCACTATTTTCTTACTGAAAATGAACAATTTTTGTCAACTTTTCCATAAGAGTAATTAGCCAACACCATAAATAAGTACTTTTAAAGACGGGCCTACAGCAGATGAATGAACACGCTGTACAAGTCAGCCAGCAGTAAGAAGATGCGCACAAGAGCAGTGCTGATTAATGACAGGTCAGTGCGAACAGTACCACGTGAGCCACTGACTTCGCACATTAAACTAAGCAGAAGTATTCCTCAACCAGATATACTCTGTCAGACTGTCAGGAGCACATTCTTCTGTACTGCAGCACCAGCCCCTATTAGCCCATCACAAGATGGAGAAAATGTAACAATAAAGCCAACGTGGTTTATTTTAGGCAAAGCGCTGAGATTTTAAAATTAAGTTTATTTTGTGGCATATGCATAACAGACATTCTCCCAGCTATATAGAAAGGTGTAACAATGCTGCCAGAAGCTCTCCTATCGTGCAATACACATATTTGGCATGCAGGTTCCCACAAGTTTAACAAGTATCTCAGTTCTTAGAATGTTGCTGTTTTGTTAGTTGTTCAGTTATGTTTATTTTGAAAAAATAAGGAAATGACCTAATAAAATTATAAAATGTAATTTACAAGGCAGTGCTACAAACCCACACTTTTCCTGGTGCAAACCACTTTTAAAAGAACATACGTAAGGCAACACGAACATAAGCAACACCTGTCATGAGGCAAGATGAGTATTAGCAACAGTAAAATATCACATCAGGATACAAATTCTGAAGAGAAAATAAACAAGGGTTGTCAAAGAGGAGGTAGCCACACTAACCACAAAAGATTTCTTGCATATTACTCAAGTACAAAGCAGCCATAATGCAGAATCTGCATTAATAGAAATTTAAGGCTCTAGTAACATCTGTTTAACAACTATGTCCCTCCCAAGCAAAAATCTAAAATCTCAGTCTGTATGAATATAAAAACACTCCGTTAAAGACAAGACACACAAAGCTATCTTGGACTGCTGGACAAAATGGCACCATATCTCTTTGTGAAAGAGAACTTTGAATTGCTTACAACTGCAGTATATACAAAGACACAGCTAAAAATACAGTGTTTGTACTATTATCACAACCTACAAAGACCAAAATACTTACTTAAAGGATTGCTTAACACTTCTCACCTGTGAAAATTTGGACAGACCCTACACAGAAACAGACAGAAGAAGACAGGGGAAAAAAAAGCAACTAATCAGCCAAGGAAGGAGGGGAAAGAACAGCCTGAAAAATGATGGAGGACAATGGCGTAATCGCTAACAGCCACTACTCAGCTACTTTGCAGTTACTGAGTCAGCTTCAATCCCTGTTGGCATCTCCCTGTAGCTTCTTTCCAAGATGCAGTGGCACAGGGTAGAAGCCACTTCATGTGTCCTGACTCTCCAAAGTGGAGTCTCATTGCCTAGCATATATGAAAAGAAAGATAAACGTCTCTGAACAGGGCCACTCACCCCTCTTTTAAATGCAATGTTTCTGCTTTAAAACTATTCAGCTGCTTTCTATACCTTCATGATTATATATTCACTGTTTCCTCCAATGTTTTCCTTCAATTCTGTCACACAGTCATTACAGTCTAAATAGTTCTAAAAATGCAGGTTTTTTCCAAGATTACTGCTTAAGAAGGAATTAATAACAGGACAGCAACAAAACAATTCAGGAGGCAATTGAACTATTTATCTCCAATCTCATTCACACAACAGATGCAATCACTAATGGAGGAAAAAAAATCACAAAGCAGAAACTAATTTCCAGCAAACAGAGGTAAGAAGGTTATTCATCTCACCTAATGTCAAGCACCTCGCTTAAACGCTGGGGTTGAGCAGAGCTCATTGGACTTTCCAGAGCCATGCCTGACCTTTGAGGCCATGATTACAAATCCAAAAGCGGTACTTTGATCAGACTGCTCCCCTGACTCAGTTCACTGCAAAGCCTTACAAATATTTGTGCTGGCTCAAGGGACGGAGCAGGAACAAGCAGCTGGGGAGAGGGACACACGTGCTGTACAGCCAACAGACAAATGTGTATGTACTGCTTGAACCCGCCCCGAAGAACGCAGTGATTGCATCAACAGGCTGGACTTGCCTGAAGGAAGGCAGCCACGCCTCATCCCTGCAGAAAGCTGAAAACTGCTCTACCGATGGCACAGCACCTCTATTCAGTGGAGCACTATCGTCTTTTGACAGGGCCGTAGAACCATCATCCAGGCTGGGGAGACCATGCACATCCCCATTATTCATCACCCTTCCAGCAGTAAAATTCTCACAGAAATCTAGTAAATGGAAGACACAGGCATTGACTCTGAGTTGAAACAACATGCTCCAATAAGAAAATAAAATAAAATAATAATTGCAACACTGAAAACTCAAGCTGAGAGTAGAATCTAGCTCAAAGAAGGACTTCAGCTGCTTGTAAAGAATAAAACGACATCCTAGCATCACATGGCTTTCTAATGGGAAATTTTAAATTTGACAAGCTCCTCAAGACCTTGGTAATTAGGAACTCAGCTGTGAACACCTTAAGTTTACATACTTTTACGCTGCCTTCCTATTAGATTTGACCCACAACATTAGACTAGTCAACCTCTAGCAGGAAGAGCTCAATTTAAGATTTAAACACCACAGTTTTAGGTTACCAGTACAATGAGATCTGAAGCTCATCTTTAAATTAGCCCCTGCTAACCCCTTGAACAACAGGAGCCAGATTTGACTTCATCAGCAATGGGACATAAAGGTTTTGCAACCTTTACCTTCAGGCACCAGAGACAGGACTTACAGGTCTGTCACTTCAGGTTTACATCGATCTATTTTCTTCTCCTCTAAATGTGAGTTTTCATATCAAAGAAGTGAATATTTGGTGGTTTCTGTAACTGGGAATAGGAAGACCTGACTTCAGTTTCAGTTCAGCTTTCACTAGAAAAGAATGTCAGAAGAAGCTCTACGTCAAAGTAAAGCTTTCAAATCTCTCTTTTAAACCTATGTCTACTGACTCATTGAAGTTCTTGTAAGTCTTGTCAGGACTTCAGTATCAGTCAACAGTAATATCAGTTAGCAAACCAATAATACATAATATTATATTATTAAATTTATATGTTGTACAGCAGTAGCCAATAATGTTGTCCTTCACTTTACTGTTTTTCTTCAAAAAGTGTTTTTGGTCTTTTCTTTGTTGATTGTTCTATGGTTTTGGGGTGGGGTTTTTTGTTTGTTTGTTTTTTGATGATGATTTGGGTTTTTTGAGGTTCTATGGGTTTTTTGATTTGAGGTTTTTGCCTGGGCTTTCATCTATTTATTTATTTATTTATTTATTTATGTCAGTTGGGTGGGGGAGGGGGAGTTGGTAATTGGTTGGGTTTCTTTTAACCTACGTTACAATACATTCTGATGTCTAGATGATTACTGACTCTACACCAAGCAAGCACTGTCAAAGCTTTCTGTGGAAAATGTTGTGTTAAAGTCTTCAGTCTTGCTTCAACTTTTATTGTCAAGACACTTAGAAATCCTGAAAAACTCTTCAATTCGTAATTTTTTTTTCCTTTCTCTATCTTTATCTTGTCTCTGTTTCCACTTTTGTAGTAAATAATTAGCTCTGACACA